CTTGGCCGGCCTTGGGCGACGCTAAGTGTTCCAATCTGATTGCTGCTGCTGAAGGTTACCACGACAGCCCTGTTTCCAGCAAGCATGAGTGCCCGCAGGAGACAGCTCAGGCAAAAAGTTATTTCCCAGCTCTCTGGAAAAGATCTGGACAAGGGAAATTCCTGAAGGAGGAAAAAAGAGGTCGAAAGGACTTTTCTCATGAACCTGGGGGAGGTGTTTCAGCTCTTTCAGCCTAATTTCTGCCCCCTGCTGCAAATCTGGGACAGAAAGAGGCAGCAGCACCCTGTTTTGGAGGGTGGGGGGGTGGCCTGGCTGCCAGCTGAGACAGGGCAGCCTGAGCTCTGTGTACAAGCTGCAGGGGACAATCCCAACCCGCAGAGCCGTCCTGGAGAAATGGAAGCAGGGAAACGGGCACTGCTTGTTCTTCTTCCTGTGCTGTCGGGTAAAGAACAAAATAGCATTTGGGAATCCTGTGCAAAATGGGCTACATCTAGCGCATGGGCCATCAGTCACCTTCTTCTGGGGAGGAAAAATGGCTCATAATGTCCCAAGCAGGTGTGGGCAGATGACAGAGGTGAGCTACACGATATTCTGGGAGTTTGGCATTAATCCTGGCTGTAAGATTTTACTTCCAGAAAAAGAGGTGTCTCAAAGACCACCATGCGGGGAAATGCACCGCTAAAAAAAAAGAATGAGACAATGCTGAGACCAGTAGAGTCCCACAGAAGTTTAAAGCCCTTGGATCCAGCGGCTTGAGACTGCACACGGCAGTCTGACAGTTATCTAAACAGGGGGCTGTAAGACAAAGTCGGCAAACAAGATCTGATCTCACTTTGAGAGGGAGGGAACTGAGTCACGCAGATATGCGCTAACATCAAGGGAAAACTTCAAAGAGGCCAAGAAAATCAGGATCAAGGACTCCAAGGAAATATCTTCAAAGCCTGAGCAATCTGACCCTGGGGCTGGAAGAATACTAGTGTCCACCCTCTTCAGTGCGACATAGAAAGGGGAAGTTATGCAATTCTCAAAAGTTTGCAAACATGAGCAAAGACACGTGGAAACTGGGTATCGTTCAAGATGACTAGAGTCACGCCTTTGGAGCGAAACCAGATGAGGTTCCTTGCCACTCTCATGAAGGAGCTGAAAGGAATTTTTATTGCCAAATCCTAATTGCCTGGTGTGAGTTGGGCCTTCCGCTCTGCCTCCTGGATATTGGTAGTGAAATTTCCAACCAGGTTTTTTATTCATCCCAAACTGCCTTCCGCAGCTGTTTCTCTGCTCTGCAAATTGTGTCAAGTAGCTGCTGCAAAATGACCGGGGGTTCCCATCTCAGCAATGCCACAGGGGAATAGCAAGCGTGCAGAGTGTTTAGTGGAGTGACTTACAGATGGGATCTCCCTAGGCTATTTCATGTTCCTCTTCAGAGCAGTATGTTGCAGAGTGTCTTATTGCACTCTCTCTATCAGCTCTTCACATTTGTCTTCTGAGGTTTCCCTTAGTCTTAAATGGAAGACATCTATAGCAAAGGACACAGTTTGCTCTAGGTTTGCAGGCAGTGTGACGGAACGAATAACTCCTTATATGAACGCAGACTGGGATTCTCAATGGACAGATCTGGCATGCTTTCACCACCTCAGTGGAGCAAGGCTGCTCTTATACCAGCAGAGACATAGCCTGCATCCAGGAGCCTGCGGGTTGCTGTGTGGAAATCAAATGGATGAGTGGAGGTCAACAAGTGGAGGGACATGTTGAGGAACACGTTGCTCTTATACTCTTCTCTGCTTTCCTCCTCTTATTGGTACCTTGTCACTGCACTGAACAGCAAACAGGTCACTGTTTGGTCAGCTTTTTTTGTGAGGAGACATTAAGGACCCCAAGCTCCTACTTTTGCCATGGCACCTCATATTTCCTCTTGATCACCAGCTGATGGGGTCGTCTTGTATTTTGGAAAACCGTCTGTGCTGCTGAGCACGTACAGGACTCACTGCATGGCACTCACAGTGTCCTAACCCCACCCCACCTCTACTCAGAGCTCACTTCCCTGGTGAGGATCCTGATTCCATCGCAAGCCGTGGCATTTCGACAGACTTTGAGGATGGTCCTACACTTACCAAACCTGTCCTGACGTGCATAGTCAGTGTGTTAGTAAAATGATCAAGAGGAAGCCTTTGGAGGAGGTGGCTCTGGAGCAGCACGACAGCTCGCCCAAGCCAGGCGCTGCCGGGCCGAAAGGCAGATTTACCTAGCACCAATGGCCAAGAGGAGATTTGCCACTAGCAGGGACATCAAGTCTGAGGACCAGAGGAAACAGCCCGCAGCAAGACGAACTGCAACCAGCTGGATGTCTGGAGTCGGCACATGTATGTGAGCCTGAGCCCGAGCCCTCCAGCTCAGGGAGAGGGGGACATGCTCCCCTCTGCAATGGGGCTCAGGGCACGGAGAGGTTAGGGCCAGGCTACCCGTGCGATACAACGCTGCAGAAGAAGCGCACAGACAGAGTGACTGCTAGCATGGACTTATCTGTGCATTAAGGGCAAGGAAAAAGAACACACACCTCCCATTAATTCTGTCCAGTTCCACACATAACACATCCCACTGCGCAGCCTTGATGCTATAGCTCCATCCCATGGGTACTGAGGCTGGACTGATCCAGCTGGCACAGGGAGTTTGACTTAGAAACATGCTACCAACCACCATGCAAGCTCTCAAGGGCCTGCTGCTTGCATATGGCTTGCAGGGCCCTGCCAGAGCCTGCACTGTCTTGCTGTGCTTCCCTAGCTGACTAGCACAGGTAGGCACCCCGGCCAAATCAGCCCTTCCCCAGGCTGTGCAGAGTACCCAGCTGTATGGGCTAGCTCTCTGCTCATGATAAAAATCACAGAAAAGAACTGGCTTTCTGGTAACGGCTGTGATTTTTCTTTTATGTCTACCTCCCTCTCTTGAGTGCTGCTGCAATGAAAAAAAGAAAAAAAAAAAGAATTATAGGCACAGCAAGGCTGGTTTACCCAGCAGCTAGCAGAAAGTATTCTCATGGCCCTGAAACCAAACAACGTGTTTGGTTGTCCGGGCCAGGGCAGGAGGCCAGATTATAATTTTAATTATATTCGCAGATACTTGGAAGAAATAGATTTAAATAGCTTGAGTTTGCCATGGTGCAAGTGAGATTTCAGGCCAGCCCCCACCTTGCTGCTTTTAGTCTGCCGGGGCTCTGCCTGCACCCTTGCTCTGATTCACGGGTGCTAGCTTGGCTTTCTGGATGTGAACACAGACAGTTTTTGCCAGTCAGGAAACTGGCTCGTTTGACATCAGTAGCAACAGGCTGCCAATGCCCTGACTTGGTTTTTAGCCAAGATGTGTTTTTTTTTTTTTCGTTCGGTGCTGAAGAGAGCTCTGACTATATGTATCCTTCTGGTGATTTTCAGGTTATTCCAGATGCAGACCTCACTGGCCATGTCCAAACTGGCGTTTATCTCACCCCAGCTACTGTTTGGGAGTGTCTGGTCTGGAACCAAGTGCAAGAAGCACAACTGAATTCGGTACCCTATTTTCCCTTGGTGGAAGATGGGGGCAGGAGTCATTGAAAGGGGGTTCTAAGACACACTGCTTGCCAGCAAGTATGAACTGTCTTCTCGGACCATCTGTTGGGCATGTTCAGGAATTGCAAATGAGACCCATCCTGAAGTGCTGGAGAGAAGCAGGGAATCTAACACCTGTCTTGACTGAAGCTAATGGCTGTGTCCAGGAGTAGTATGGGCACAGAACATCCTAAAATTGATTAAAACCAGGACTGAAACAGGTTGGTGTGACCATGGGGACCATTTAGAGATCATGGCAGCAGCAAGGTGTGGAGGCTAGCCCTGCGGAAGGAGGAGAGATTAAGTCAGATATGAAGGCTGAGGGGACCACATCTCATATCCCTGCTCCTCAGGTGCTTCCTAAGTAGGTCACTTCAGCCCCTGACATCTCAGCTGGGGACATCTGCAGAAACAGGGCACAGCATGGAGCAGGTCAGGCACATGTGCACAGGATGAGGCCACATGAGCATGAGGTTTTTCTACTAGCAATAGCTAAAAACACTTCAAAGAAAGATCCTCCCTGATTCTGAAGGGCTTGACTAAAGCCCTGTGTCTCTACAGACCTCATACTGTCTCCTCTCTTGCCCTAGCAGAGGAGACTGAAGCCGCTTTTGGCTGTTGCAGCCTTTCCACCCACAGGGCCTTGCACTTGGGGCTGTGCCAAGCAGAAGCTGTCATCGGCCCCGGCTGAAGGGAGCCTCTGCTTTGTGGGAACTTTGCAGCCGCCCTGTCTCTGCTCTCCAAACAGCCAAATTTGCAGCATGTGCTGCTTTCTCTATCTTGAGCCCTTTCCGTTCAGATGGGGTGGGAGCAAAAAGGAGGAAAACAGACGTTGCCAAAAAAGGAGAGCCCCTGGCTTTGATAGACTTCAGGCATTTATTCAGAGGAAACAAGAGAAGAAGGTAACATTATTGTTTAGAGGCAACATCTGCTGCTCTCTTTGTGTTGAAAAACTCTGGCCAACCTTTCTGAGACTGGCCTCATTGGAGTGGTTGTTTTTCAGGGAATTTTTTTAGGTTTTGAGTGCTTAAACTGGGACATTTCTGAAGGACGGGGACTCCTGGTTCTCCTGTGCTGTGTTTGCCTGGCCCTTGCAGGAGCGCCCGGGGGCACCTACAGTGACGTGAGTTAATCTGGTCTCAACCCCTCAGCTGCTGCTGCCACAGCGCAATGCTCAGTGCCTGAGAAAGGAGGAGAATGTCATGGGCTCGCAGTGGGAACCCCCGACGGAAACCCCTGAAGCTGTGAGTGACCGTTGATTTGGTCTGAAACATGTTTGGTCTCATCCGACTCGTAGTAGAGGGAGCAGGTTTTGGATGCAGCCTTGAAATCTAATCTTTCTTCTCTGTCAGTCTGTCAGGATGCTCTGACGCTTATTGTCTGTGAAAACCACAGCAAAATCATGAAAAGAATTATGCCCGTGCCATAAAGATGAAAAAACAAAAGGACCGAGACAGGGAATACACCCTACACCCTTAAGGATGTTTCATGCAAACATCTCTCTGAACAAAGGTGGGAGGAAACTGCCAATTCAGTGCATTTTCAAGGCACTAAATGGAATTCTTCTAGGTCAGGCAGCTTCTGCCCATTTTATTGTGAGTCATGTGCCATCAATACGACCTTAAATCCCACAAACATTAGCAGTATAAAACGGGAATGTGTCCAGTGACATAAGATCTGGAACAAAATACTTTTGCCCAACTTTACATGGATTATTCTTGTCTGAAACTATTATGTAATTCTGGACACTGCTTGTATGTACATATGCTTTGTTATTAGCTTACTCTTTGGGATTGCATTCTGCCAGGTCAAAGTTTATTTATAATACCGCTATGCAGGTGTGCTCAGACAGTGTGTGCCAATGTCAAGTGGAAGCATGCTGTAGCAGTGATTTAAATGGCAAAGCTCTGTGCTGATGATTTGACCCAATGTCTTCATAATAGAGGCTGCAGGACTCTCATCCCCTGATTTTCGTATGAAACCTGTAACTTCTGGTGGAGCATTTTCATTCCATCTTACAAACTCCTCTGGGCCAAGCACCCTGTAAATTAAGTGGCTTTACTTAAGAACTAGAACCAAAACCTGGAGCCAAACACCTTCTATCTTCATTCATATTTGAATTTGTGGCTTGAGTCCTACTCCAAATGTACCGTAAAGTCTCTCTTCTTTTTCTCCATTAAGATGCAGATAGAGACAGCAATCAAGAGCCAGTATCCAATCCTTTGCCAATCCTTTGTGTCTCTCCTGTCAGGTATTCAACAGGTCCTTTAACATGCACTTACCCACTGAAGGAAATGGGTGATTTAGAAGATTCGGAGCGGGACACAGAACTGGCACCTTGTGGTTCCTGAAGAAATCTGGTACAAGATTTGTTGTGTGAAGGAGTGCTTCGGCTCCTCCCAGGCTAGGAGAAGGAAAGCAGGCTCCCTGCAGAGGGAATCGACCCTGGGAAGCCCTACATTGACCTCAGCTCTCAGTCCGATCTGGCTGCGGGCAGGCTGCAGAGGGGATCCACCACGGCTTCTGTGCGTGCCCTTTGCACAACTGGGTTTGTGATTAACAAAGCAGTGCGAAATATAGAGAATAAAGATGAGATCTGCCTAAAGATACCGAAACGGCTCATTTCTGCTGTTTTGCAAACTGAAGCACAGCATGTGCGTGGGCAGAAGCAGAAAGCTTTGATCCCCATGTGCTTTAGATCCAGCCATCCTGCTGCTGAAAGCACGCTCACAAACATGGGCGATCCAGACAGACCTACCAGAGACGATCACCTCCAGCTCAGTGCAGGTTTCTAGGGTAGGTGTGGAGAGCTGTCGTGCTGTTTCTACCATTTCCACTTGTGCAGGTGCTCAGAATAGCCCAGTCATCCTGTTTACACATAGAAATAACCCCTGGCCAGCATGAAAACAAGCAAACAAGGTGAGATGTGACTTAAAAACACTGCCTGCCAGGTCAGGCAGGGCACAGCTTAGCTTCTCCTGAAGCTGATTTGGGCTGTAAGGCAGAAACCAGATATCAAGGGATCTTTGCGCTGGTTCAGCAGAGCACTGCCCCGAGCTGGGAAGTGGTGCACACCAAATCTCTGTGCACACTCAGCAGCCTGGACGCTGAAGGGTTCAGACTCAAATCCTGGTTGTGGAAGCGGCTTCAGCAATCCTTGCAGTTGTTTCAAGATGTTTGATCTCTGCCTTCAAGGTCCAACCACCAGAGGATTTTCCTTAGGTTAGAAAAAAGAAATAACGCATAAATGCTTACACGGCACCTGTGGGGAGAGACCTCAGCTTGGGGTTACTGATGCTTTTGTAAATAATGAATCTTTCCTCCTTATTTTGTAGTATTCTTGAGGAAACGTGGTTGCACAGCGGTTAAAAGACATGGCACAGCATCACGCAGAAAAGAGGGTGCCCGAACCAGGAGCTCTAACCCTGAAGACTCTGCTCTCCAACAGAAGGGGTTTATTTAGGTGGGGAAGGCCTGGAGGACACCACCAATATTCCCATTTTGACCTCAGCCTTGTGACACCTCTCTCTGTCCCACAGACTGTTTCTCCTTCTGCTCCTTATATGCCTCTGGAAACATGGCATCTCCATTACAAGGACTGTCCATCCTGTTATTTTTCCATAGAAAAAATGATTGCTATTGCTATGTCTGGCTCCAGTAATGAGGCTGAGCAGCTTGCCTCCTGGCTAATCTTTCAGAAAGCAACAACCTTTTCCCCCTCATCTCTTCCTTTTGCGGATTTCTTTGGGGGCTCCTCTGAGCGAAGAGGCAGGCTGGTTTCATCTGCCTCACACAGAGGAAAGAGAAAATGGAAAATATTTGTGCCCTAATATCAGTGTCCTTTCAGTATTTCATCCAACATAAACCCTCTGAAGTACACTGGGATGCAGAAAGAGTCCCACTAGCCCCCTGCGTCACCACACCTTCCGTAGACACACACACGTTATCGTGCACCGATTACGTAGGACCATTCCCTTATTTCAAATGCTCTGCCTTTGGTGGCACCAAACAGTTATTTTTATGGCACAGAGGGGCTTAGATAAAGCAGGAAGATTTAAGTTGGAGCAGGAACAATATTTGAATGTGTCAAACCGTTTTATGAAGGACACATCTTAGAGCCTGCTCACCCTCATTTCTTCATCCTCCCGTTCACAGAATATGTGAGAGTTTTGAAGAGGCAAGTTGGGCCTTTGAGGAAGAAAAGAGGAAAAAAAAAAAACATTAGATGGGATATTACCCACTGGCTGCTATTACATTTCTCTGGAGAAATTTATGATGTGATCATTAAATCCTCAAGAGACAAACCTGAACAGCGTTTTCTTCCTTCTAGGCAAAAATCTTGGAACTCTTAAAAAGACATTGTATTTCACAGCTCAGCAATCCAACAACATTTAAAGAACTGGAGAGTGAAGAGGAATTTTTAAATGAGCAGATTTTTTTTTTCTTAAGGACTCTGCACTTTCAGAATTCTTTTCAGGAAAAAATAAATAATTTCTAACATCTGGTAATTAACAGCTTGTGAGCCTAAGAATACTTGTCTGCAGAGACAGTTCACAAGAGTGCAATGTTTGCCTTGCCCCTTATCTGCAAAGATCACTGTTCACTCACTGAGGCAAAAGCTCTACAGATACGGCATCTCAAACTGCTTTTCCTGTACCCAGTTCTGTGTTTCAGAAAGACAAACGACATTAGGAACAATAAAGAGATTGTCACTGTATTCAGATTTTGTTATACCTAGGACTAGTATTACCTTCCCAGGCCTGCACCATTTCCTAGCTACACGAAGCTCTGCTGCGCTGGCGGCTGTTCCACCTTGGTACAACCAACGGGACGGTTGTGACAGCTTCGTACAACCAACTTGGATGGTTCCTCATCCAACTAACAGATATTAATGGCTAATAATAGTAATTAATATCTGTTAGAGAGCCACTAACAGATATGAATGGCTTTTGCTCTTAGAAGCTGTCCTTGGGGCAGGGCAGTTTTTATAGTCCTCATTTCATAGAACAGCATTGCAGCAGAGGGATGAAGTCTCTTGTCGAAGTTCACGGAGAAAAGTTGTGTCTACCAGCTTATACAAAAGTATAACCACAAAATTTTCCACTTTATCCTGATAACACTGCTGAAGGAAAGAACTAAAACACAGAAACCTGGTATACTAATTCAGCACAGAAGTCACCCACACCATTGCAGTTTTATGTAAGGATAAAAAATAATGTCCAGATTAAATTAAATTTGTGGCCTTCAAGAGCTGTGGAGCAGAACTTTTGAATTTCCAAAATGTTCGGCTCTATTTCTACTTCAATTTCTAGCAGGCAGAAACTACGATTTAATACCGAACAGGCTTTTTCCCTTGTCACTCTTAAATCAACCCAGGGTGGGATTTCCCAGCAGCACCTTTCCCCGTGCTGCTCCTTGTAAGACTTGGCCATCCCAGGGAAGGAAAGAGGATGGTGAAGCCTTCCAAAACTTATGCCTATAGCACTAAACTTCACAAAATTCTGCAGTCTTGCTGTTTGCGAGGAAAAATTTGCCTGGCAGCTATCACACATCTTTGGAGAGCTGGGCTCCATTCCTTGCTTTTCCATCGATTTCCTGTGTAGCTGCTGGCAAACCTGTATGTCCCTGTTCCTTAAAGGTATTTAGGTGCATAAATCCTATTGAAATCCAGCTCCACTTTGCTAAACGACAACCCCAGCCTGCAGATACTGTGAGGGCCCATGCATTTGAAGACGGTGCAGCATCACGTACCGTAAAAACAAGGGTGATGGTAGCTTTTATCCTTAAACCCTTGATAGGGTGGGTGAGTATGCATGATTCGAAGAAGGGGAGACTGGCCCTAACGACTTTACAGCCTGCGAGGCTGGGGTCCCGATGGCAGCAGGGTCCTGCTCTGCCCCGAGGTGGGCGCCCCATCATCGCATCGCTTGCGGCAGGCTTGCAGCCGTCATCCTTCACAGTCCAGCTAGCCCGTCAGCGCAGCCAGGACATCGCTGTTCTATGAGACAGAGGATCAAAGTGCTGCCCTGACACCTAACCTTGAAAATTAAAGACAATTTAAAGATAAAGAGCGGATCTGTTTGCTCAGCATGAGCAGCCTTAACGGTGTATGCCTTGTCCGGGTGACAACATGAAATTCCCTTTTTCTTGAAAGTGACGGTCTCAGTTCTTGAAAACACAACCACGGCATTAATTTCAATTTTTCGGTGAACCTCCACGCTTTAAAGGGCAGCTAACCTCAGGTCAAGGTCATGGTTAAAACAAAAGAGCAGAAAAAATTGCTCTTCGTCTGGACCTCGGCAATGTCAAACATTTCGAGTGGCTCATGCAGTTTAGGTTGGAAAATACTATTATCTCACTAGCACGTTGCTTGCCGCATTGTGCTTCAATGACAGCATGCTAGATTTTGAGCAGCTACAGTTCAAAGCAAATAGTTTTATGTGGCAGAGGGATCTGGACTCTCTGATGAGCCGAAATAACTGGTCAAACTCCCATTAACTTAGCAGTGAAGTCCTCAGGGAAATCAGTGGGAGTTTTCCCATAGGCCTGCAATGCAGTAGCATAAACAAAGGGAGGGAAGGGTTTCTTAGTCAGACACTGAAAGAAGTCTCCTCTCAGCAATTAAAATATAGAGTTCTACTTGAAAGTGATTAATATTTGTACTGTCTACTTACGGCCAAGCCACGTACCCCAAGCCCTACCAAATATGAACTTAAATACACAACACTCTCCGGAGTTACTTCTCAGTTAATAATTTATGTATTCTGGCAACAGATCAATGCAACTAGAAACTAGTTTAGTAACTTACCTTCAGGGTTGTCTATCTATAAACACTGCAGATTCCTAAGTTAAACAGAACCCAATTGTTTTCCTGTGTAATAGAGGCCAGAGCCTGATTTATATAGTTAATTTAAATGGTAATCTTAAAGAGCTGAGAAAAACACAACCTGTATCATTAAGGGTTATGAAAGAGGGAGAAACTGTTTACTACTGGGTTCAGAAGTATGTGATATAAATGAAGATAAAATGCAAGTATCAAGACAAAAGTAATAAAATGATACCAGTATGTGCTGTCTGTGCTTATATAAGAGAGCATTAGTTCTGGCTGATTTTTCCTGAGGTTACCGTGCACCCACAAAGCTGTCTGATGCTGGGATTCGTGTGCAACTACACAACTCTAATTCTTGTCTTTTTAACACTGGGCCAAATCCAATGTCAGAAAGCGGCAGGACTCGCCTAATTGAAGCTAGTCTAGGAGTTTAACTGCAGTAAGGGTGTCCAGACTTGCCCCTATCCTTAATCATCTCTGGAGAAGAGAGGGGACAGAAGCTTTTGTGGACGGCTCGTGCACCAGAAACACGGCTTGTATTTGAAAGTGCCTTGCAGTGACTAATTAACAGGCATCTGTTACAACTTGTTGAGCCTTATCTTCATTTTCATACGTTCTATTTTGGAACAAAGTTCTATTTAGGAGGCTGCTCAGGCTCTTAAATGTTGCTCAAG